TTGTTATTAAATAAAATCAACTTGTTTATTATAATCAAAACTGTGAGGTTTCAAATTAACCATAGCTCAATAGAATCTAATAAAATGTTTTCTGCATCTTGGATTGTATAGGGTATTATTGAAAAACCTAGAAAATCACTCGGGAGTTAATTTCTTTGAAAGGTGAATACTTTGGCCTCAGATTGAGCTAATATTTGGTACAAAAGATGAAGTACTGACAGTGAATTTTGTATTTATACTAAAAAATCAGCCTCCATCACCATCAAAAGTTGATTTCTGCATTTCTTCATCAGAAGCCTTTCTAGAATCTCACCCCCGACACCGACTCAACATCTGACTTGGTTTTACTAAAATGACTACGTGTCAGCTTACAATATACTTCATCCATTCCCAAACGTCGATTTCACTCTCTTTGATTAATTTTTTTGGGACTGTTCTTAATGTGTTAGATTTTCTCAACGATTTTCTTGATGAATTTGTTAGAAAATGTAATTTTGTTGTTCAGATTGTGGGAAAAAGTATTGAAATAGAGTTTAAAGATTTCGGGGCGGTGGTGTTGTTTTTAGTTAGCTAAGACTGAGGTTAGGGCGGTGCCGGTGGTGGGTGGCCCGTGGCCGTGATGGTCGTTGATTTTTAGGGTGGGAGTGGGGTGCTGTAAGGTGGGGTGGGGAAGAAGATCATTTTTTTTTTGATGTGGTAATTTTAAAGTTATTAGTTTACCACTTTCAATTTAATTAAAATTAGTCAAAGTCTATTTTTATCGGTCAACTAATTGTCATTTGTACCACATTGCTAATTTCTCAAAGATTTGAGACCACCATTGGCACAAATTGAAAATTATGATAAATTTTACAAAAACGTGAAAGGTTAGGAACCGCTGTTACAATTTTTTTTTAAATTCATTTTTGACCTCCCAATTTTTCAATAAAATAAAATTTTCACAAAATTTATTCTAAACAAATCTACATAAAACATAGCCTTATTTTTTAACTTTCATAATGTCCTAATCTTAATATCATCTATTTATCGTCCCAAAGTTCAATTTTGCTTTTTTAGCAAACAAAAGGTCAAGTGATCTTATCCATGTGCCTCAGAAGTACCATAAATTTCTACCTTTTCTTGTTTTCAATATGCACTTTTGTAACTTTTTCAAAGAAAAGTTCATTGTGCATGTTCCAATTGCACTTTTAACTTTCATGAAAATTATTTATTAAAGTGATAATTTTTTTTATCATTAGGTCTAAAATTTGTTTCAATTGACAAAAATATAAAAATTACCATACCGAATACCATTCGTTTGGATTTGTTTTTCATGAAAATTATCAATTAAAAAGATATAATTTTTTACAATTGGAAATAGAATTCATTGGTGAGAATTTGTTTTCAAGGAAAACCAAGAATTGAGTGGAAAATGAATTCCATGAAAAATTTAGTCTACCAAATAGTCTAAAAGTGAAAAATGGAAAACGAATTTCAACTTCCCTCAAAAATTTCGTGCTATCAAACAGGCCCGTAGTTAGTTGCTTATTTAACAGAAACGCGAGTTCTTGACACTTCGAAATATTAATTTTAAGAATGGAAAATACGAACGTGCTAGCGAATATATTTGAAAGAGTAAATATTACTTATGTCAAAAAAATAAGTTAAAACGTGACACTTTTTTCTAATAATTTTAAAGATCACTCTTAATTTATTGTTTTGATTCATAAAGAAAACTCACTAATAAGTAAAAAATTTAATCTTAGCCAAACATGATTGGCTCAAGGAAAAGGTTGTCATTAGCATCAATTTCGAAGAACACATCAGTACACTAATTCGAGATGAGGTTAACATCTATCTAGTCAATTGATAATGTCTTAATTTAATAAGAATAATAATAATTTAATCATTCTTCAATAAGAAATTGTGACTTAAATAATCTTACAATATGTCTATGCTCTTTAATCAAACTAGTTTGAGTTGAACGTTCACTGCACGTTATTCTGAAATATTTTATAAGAAAATGTAAAAGTAATAATTGATACCAATTTATTGAGAGGATTTGATAAGTCTCAAACGAACCAAAGAAAATAAAATTTAGGATAGAAATTTAAGAGAAGAAATTTGTACTCTCAAAATTCAACTTCTATTATTCAAATTTTTGTGACGATGAAATATTACAAATGAGCAACATATTGATAAATAAGAATTATTTGCTAATATATGAATTTAAATATTCATTAAAATTCCTCTTTACATAAATAGAAATAAATTTATCTATATTGACTCTAGAGTCATGTAGATCAAAATTTATTGAATCTAGATTAATGTGAATGCTAATTAATAATACGAAATTCATATATGATAAAGATTTTGTAGTATTTATTATTTATTCAACAATGAAAAGTAATGTATTATTGAAATAATTGAATTGTAGTAGGGTTAATATCGTCCCAAAAATGATTCTTACTTGACTTGATATTTAATATATTATAGATAGATGTATTAATCAAATTCAAAGACATTGTCCAGTTTTTACTAATGACACACCGTTTTCATAGTTAGATACTAATTATAACTGTAATGAAAGATTAAAAACTAAATTTCTTGGTTTTTAAAGCTTGTGAGTCGGAGACTTTCTTAAAATTATATAAAACGGTAAATTAAAGAGTCACTTATATAAAACGGTAAATATAGTCGTTATTGGGTCCCATCCGTCTAATAAAAGTCAACAATAACGGCTAGTTTTTCAATTTTAATCCGATTTTAATCTTTTCCAAACAAGCTCTTAAAAAATTATATAAAACGGTATTATTTGAAATTTTAATGATTGAAATAATGTTTTTTGAATAATGTTTGGCTAAAAAAGAAGAATTTTTTTTTGAAATTACGTATAATATTATTTTATTGAAAAATGTATGATTGATAAGAAGAAAGAAAAATGAATTATAATTTTAGGGTCCGTTTGACTGCAAGGGTGAAAAATGGGTGGAAATAAAATGAATTCCAGGGAAAAAAATTGCCTATAAATTATTTACCTGAAAATTGTTAATTAAATATGTTTTATTGGTATAATTTTTTACCCGAAAAATTTTAAAACTTTGGATCTTTTTTTTCACGTTTGACTTTATTTTACATGAAAATTGTTCATTAATTACAATTGGTTATGAAATTTGTTAATATTGTCAAAAAGTAAAAAAAGAGTTTTTTTCTCGAAAACTATTTTTTCACCATTTTTAATCAAAATTTAGTGTTCGTTTGGCTTCGTTTTACATGAAAATTGTCCATTAAAATGAAAAAAATTTTACAATTGAAAAAAAAAAAAAAGACGGCCAGAACATGAAATGGTAAGAAAATGAATTTCCCAAATATAAGGCAAACGGGCGTATGTGGGGGTGAGAAAATTATTTCCTTGGAAATTTTTTGTCATCAAACAGCACATTTGTGAGAAAATGGAAAATTCTATTTTCCATGGAAAAACTATCCAATCAAACATGGCCTTAATGGATGCCAAATGAAAGCTTGATTTCATACTAATCTATAATAATAACATATTGAGAGAGAAAGGGAGAGAGAAAGAATGGATTCTTAAGTCAAAGTATTTTCCTAACAGTGGACCCTAAGGTTTATCGTGCCTTAATGGTATTAAGTATGTGTTTGGTTGGGATTAAAATTAGATTTTTAGTGGATTGTGATAGAAGTTTTGAAATGTGTGGTTGAAGAGATGTGGGGATTCATGAAAAATGTGGTTAATATTGATTGTTTGACTTTGATTTGGATTAAAATCAGATTTTAATCCGGCCCAAACAGACCCTAAATGTCTTGATTACTCGTTAAGGGCAACTCACATATCTTGAAGTTGAGATTGGGTTTAAGTTAAAAGAAATACGAAAAAAATATGACGTAATTCATGTATTAAAAAATNTTTAAAATACATTATTTTCTCAATAATATTCATCTAACACACCCTTAGAGGGTGTTTGGTGGGGATTAAAATTAGATTTTTAATGGATTGTGATATAAGTTTTTGAAATGTGTGGTTGAAAAGATGTGAGACCTATGAAAGATGTGATTAATATTGATTGATTGTTTGACTTTAATTTAGATTAAAATCAGATTTTAATCTAATCCAAACATGCCCTAAATATCATTAAATAAAAGATAAAATTAAACGAGTTACATAATTCAATATGTAAATAGAGTTTATTTCAATGTATCACCGGTGAAAATGGGAAAAACGAAATAACAAAAAATGATTTAATATACCGTGGTTTGACTAAAGTCGTAATTGGATGCTCTTTGAAAGCAAAAGGACAAGACACAAGTCCTATATCGTAAGTAGCGAAAGCTAATGCAAAAATAAGGAAATCTTTAATATTAAAATAAGCAAAGATATTAGGGAAAAAAGCAGAAGGAATAACAAAGTCTAAAGTGGGTCCCACTTTGAAATATGTGACATAGACGGCAGTTTGCAGGTTAATTTTTAATGCGCTTCCCACCCAAAGTACTTTCGCTCTCTAATAATTTGCATCTTTTGTATTTGTTTGTGTGTTTTGAGTTTTCCGCCAAGGCAAAGCAAAGTCTTATCTTTCACACTTCTATTCTCCTCTCTTTCTCTTATGGAGATTGAAAGAATCTAGGGTTTGAGAGCAACTAAGAAGTCCAATTAAAGGTCCGTTGTTTGAGACTTTTTTTCCCTTACTATTGTTCTTTTGCGTGTTGAATTTTTTCCCGTTTTCAAATTCAAGTTTAGCATTTGATTTTACATGGGTTTTCCTTGTGTTTGATTGATCGTTGCATTGCCCTATTGAATATCATGATCTAGTGTTTGTTTGAATATCTTTGCTAAAATAGTGGTTTTAAGTTAGTTTTTGTTTTATTTATGGACAGTTGAAGTTCTATTGAATCAGCAAAGTACTTGAATTTGATGTTTTTGGGTATTGGGAATTCTCGGTTTTTAGGTTTTTTAATTTTAGTTGACATTTTTAGCTTCTTTTTTTTAAGGGGGTTGATTGTGTTAAATGGAGGAGGTCGAAAAAGCAAATAGTGCAGCTGTGGAGAGTTGCCATAGAGTGCTTAGTCTTTTGTCTCAAAAACCCCAGGATCAGAATCAGTTTAGGAATTTAGTTGAGCAAACAGGTGAGGCTGTAAATAAGTTCAAGAAAGTCGTTTCTCTTCTTAATTCTAGTTGTGGTCATGCTAGAGTGAGGAAAGTCAAGAAAATTCAAGCCCTTTTCCCCCAAAACTTATTTCTAGAAAATCCAATATGTAGAATAGATGATCAGCCTAAACGACTTCCGATCCTTCAAATCAATTCCAATGATACGAACCCAGTTCAAGAAACGGGATCCAATATCCGGAGTGTTCTCACATCAGGAAATCCTTCTTTGGAATTGAGCTCATGCGGAAAATCCGCCTTACAACTCGCTCATCAGACACCGATACAGAATTATCATTTTCTCCAACTTCAGCAGCAAAAGTTGAAACAGCAAGCTGAAATGATGTATCGGTTTAGTAATAGTGGCATTAGTCTGAATTTTGATAGCTCAACCTGCACCCCGACCATGTCTTCAACTAGGTCCTTTATGTCTTCATTGAGTATGGATGGGAGTGTGGCTAATTTGGATGGAAATGCCTTTCATTTAATTGGGGCAGCTCGATCAGCGGATCAGATCTCATACCAACACAAGAGAAGTTGCTTGGGAAAGGGAGAAGATGGAAGTGTGAAATGTAGAAGTAGTGGCAGATGCCACTGTTCGAAGAAGAGGTGCTTGTTTTTAGCGTTTACTATTTCTGCTCCACAATATCATTGCTCTACATAGCATATCTCACAACTGCTTCTTTTTCATTGCTTTTTTTGCTAATATCTGACAGGAAGCACAGGGTAAAAAGATCGATAAAAGTACCTGCCATAAGCAACAAGCTAGCAGATATACCCCAGGACGAGTATTCCTGGAGAAAGTATGGCCAGAAGCCAATTAAAGGTTCTCCTCATCCCAGGTATCGGTGACCTACTCTGAGCTCAAACTCGCCACAAATTACTTGTCATAATCGCCTCGACTAATATCTTATATGAGACGCCAGATATTTGCAATTTAAAAGTATAAGTAGTCACTGTTGAGATATTTGGTCATAAGTTTTTACATTTGTTCTATTGCATGTAAGTATGTGATTTCTACTTCTGTTGTCCAAAGTTTTCTTGGGGTCAGCTCTGTGTGAGGTTGGATTGAGTCAAATTTACAGAAATTTTTGACTCGTTTCAATTGCAAGGGTTCTTGTCATTTTTAATACTGTCACGGGCTTAGCATTTTTGTCAACTGCGCCAAGCACAGTGTGGTCTTAACGTTGCTAAGTTCCTGCCTCTTGCAAGAACATGTTAAGTCAGCCTTCTTTTACCCATGAATTTAACCTCTGTCCTAATTATCTAGGGTGCCCAGCACTGCGTTTTGGAATTTGTTCTTATTTAGTTTAAGAAAGCTCAAACATCTTTAAATGGTTGCACTGAGTTCATTATTAATTTGTGCAGAGGATACTATAAATGCAGTAGCATAAGAGGGTGTCCTGCAAGGAAACATGTGGAGAGATGCTTGGAAGAACCTTCAATGCTAATGGTCACTTACGAAGGTGAACACAACCACCCGAGGTTACCATCACAGGTTGCAAACACGTGAATCTTTGAAGCTACCTATACATTGGTAAGACGGAATCTGGTTTAGATATAAGAGTTATTTGGAATTTGGGGGTTGCTGGTTGTAAAGAAATCCATGATCTTAAATGACCTTTTAGAGCTTTCTGTGATTGTGTTTAGTTATGAAGGTTCACCTTTTGATTTATTAGGTTCATTGATACTTCCCCGTGTTTTAAGCGCATTTCATAGGTAGATTATTATCCTTAAAAAATGTCCCGACCTCACTGTTATGTAAACATCCCGGTCTGATGATCAACTGGATAGATTAGATTTGTCTTGATAAGATGTTGATATGGTTAAATTTTATTTGAAGTTTCCTTCTATTTATGTTCCTTACAAGGGTAAATTTCTCTCTTTTCATCTTCTCCTGTTTCGTCTCATCTACTAACTCGTCTAACGTTCCTGGTTCTCTCTTTTGTTCCACAAGATGGATTCTTGTTCGACTAGGAAATTTGGTGACAGAATACTGTGAACCGGATGTTTAAAATAGTCTGATTAGCATGAAATTTTTTTGAAAATTAATCAATTTGTTCAATATGAAACTATGGTCATGTTTGACACCCTTTCTCATTCTCATTTTTTTTTGCTCTTTCTTCATTTCAATCACACATTCTCTAAATAAAATGATATTACACACAAATTTAAAAAAATTTCATTACTTTTCAAACACGCATTCTTTCATCAATCATTATTACAGAATTCATTTCTTCCCCAGAATAGGTGTCAAACACAAACTATAATAATTACATTTTTTAAAATCTGTGTTAAAATGAAAACAAACATATCTTTGTGTGACGGAGGGAGTCGCATACAATAACACATAGGAAGCTAAGACGAGATGAAAATAAATGGAAGCTCACCGGCATTATGTCAAGCGAATGACACCAAATTAAACGTTGCTCAATGTGGCTTTATTTAGATTTCCTAGAAAACCTGCATAACTTGTATATGCATGTGCATCTATCTCTATATGCAAGTAAAAAAATGGTTACCATTTTAAATTAACGATACAATTCTACTTACACCAATGACCAAACATGGCAGAGTACATTTTCAAAAATGTCCACTTTTTGGGTGTCAATTGAAAAATATCCACCATTTTGAATTTTGTACCAAATTGTCCATTATGCCCTTAATGGAAAAATGAAGCAATTTGTTTTTTTTTTTCCCCAATTTTTCACAAATTTCGAGAAGTAGCTTTCCTAAGAAACTACATTTAAATGATATTTTCGACATTTCAAATGTTCGTTCTCGACATTTTAACCCTATTTATATTTTAAAAGTACACATGTCTAATCACAATATTAAATGTTCTCGATATTTCAAATGTTGTTCTCGACATTAAATGTCTAGAATGACATTTCATTCTGAACATGACATTTCTCTACATTTGAAATGCCGTTCTCGACATTTCTGTGTCAATGAGAAAAATTACATTTATTGCGATTTGACAATTGTACTTTCGAAATAAATAAGTTGGTTATGTATCAATTTCTGAGAAGAAAAATGCTATTCATCCTCAGTGGGGATGTATCCCCAATCTATGTGGATGTTAATGATTGGTNCTTGTTCGACTAGGAAATTTGGTGAGAATACTGTGGACCGGATGTTTAAAACAGTCTGATTAGCATGAATTTTTTTTGAAAATTAATCAATTTGTTCAATATGAAACTATGGTCATGTTTGACACCCTTTTTTTTGCTTTTTTTTCATTTCAATCACACATTCTCTAAATAAAATAATATTACACACAAATCTAAAAAATTTTCATTACTTTTCAAACACGCATTCTTTTATCAATCATTATTACATAATTCATTTTTTCCCCAGAATAGGCGTCAAACAGAAGCTATATTAATTACATTTTTTTAAATCCGTGTTAAAATGAAAATAAACCTATCTTTGTGTGACGGAGGGAGTCATATACAATAACACATAGGAAGCGAAGACGAGATGAAAATAAACGGAAGCTCACCGGCATTATGTCAAGCGAATGACACCAAATTAAACGTTGCTCAATGTGGCTTTATTTAGATTTCCTAGAAAACCTGCATAACTTGTATATGCATGTGTATCTATCTCTATATGCAAGTAAAAAAATGGTCACCATTTTAAATTAACGATACAATTCTACTTACACCAAACATGGCAGAGTACATTTTCAAAAATGTCCACTTTTTGGGTATCAATTGAAAAATATCCACCATTTTGTACCAAATTGTCCATTATGCCCTTAATGGAAAAATGAAGCAATTTGTTTTTTTTTCCCCAATTTTTCACAAATTTCTAGAAGTAGCTTTCCTAAGAAACTACATTTAAATGATATTCTCGATATTTCAAATGTTCGTTCTCGACATTTTAACCCTATTTATATTTTAAAAGTACACATGTCTAATCACAATATTAAATGTTCTCGATATTTCAAATGTTGTTCTCGACATTAAATGTCTAGAATGACATTTTATTCTGAACATGACATTTCTCTACATTTGAAATGTCGTTCTCGACATTTCTGTGTCAATGAGAAAAATTACATTTATTGCGATTTGACAATTGTACTTTTGAAATAAATAAGTTGGTTATGTATCAATTTCTGAGAATGGCTACTGAATGGAATACAAATACGAATATTTGAATATATTTATTGTGTTTGAAATCTTGAACAATTTCTGAGGGATAATATCTTCAAAAGGAAGGGGTGATTCAACATTTGCTTGTACAAAGGAAAAGATGCGGATGCAGATGATGAATGCAAAGTTCCATGATTAAAGGGGTGTTTGATGAGAATTAAAATTATATTTTTAGTAGATTGTGATAGAAATTTTAAAATGTGTGGTTGAAAAACTGTAGAACACATGCAAAATGTGATTAATATTGATTGTTTGACTTTGACTTAGATTAAAATCTGATTTTAATTCATACCAAACAGGGCCTAAATGTGCTCACGAGCTGAATTGAATTTAACGAGAAAAAGAAAAGAAACACAAAGGAATGGAAGAAAAAAATAAAAGAATACAAAGAAACGAGGGATAGGTAACAACACATATAAAATAATTTCTCAATTATGAACTCTTGTTCAGTAGTGCATTTACATTCCAAAGGTTAACCGATTAGATCGAGTAGCTCAACTCCCTTATTAATTAGGGAACTGCTATTTCCATCCACCACATTCTAAATTCATCCATATGAAAATTTTGAATTTTATAAAAAAGTACTCTATTCGTCCACGTTGTATTCCTACATTAATCTTGTTAAATTCATTTATTTAAATACTATATATACACGCTACTTTTATACCAATCAAACACAATTTCCACTCACACGTGCACAATTCCTTGTTTTTGTGGAATTCATTTTCCCATGGTTTGTGTGGAAAATGTTTTTTCCAACATTTTTTTTTTTTTTTGCAATTGAAATTTTTTTTTGGACACTAGACACAATGATAAAAAAAATTATCACTTTTATTGACAATTTCCATACAAAACAAAGCCAAAAGAATGATATTTGATATGGTATTTTTTTTAAAAAAAATTTTTGGCTACAATTCCCAATAAAACAATTTCTAGGCAATTCAATTCCCTAAAATTTAATTTCTTTCCACCCATTTTCCACATTTACAATCAAACAGACCATAATTGTTATTCAAATGTCGTAAGCTATTCCACCGTTGTTCACACCCAAATGTAGGGATGGCAAAAGCTCGAGCTGGGCACGGCTTGGCCGGACTTTGCTCGGGCACAAAAAGGCTCAAACTGAGCCCGAGCTTTTTTATTTAGAGCCTAACCCTAACCCCGCTTGGTGATTGCGTTTTAGCTGTTCTACGTTACAAATGTGAAAAGATTAACTCAAGGAGCTACATCATCTTCAATACTTTCGCTTGAAAATATTTATGATCAATTCCTCAATGTGAAGGTAAAATCCCACAACATCTAGATATGAAAAAAATCAATCAACACATTATATTTCTCTGAAAAGACTCACATTTTATGGTGGAACTCAAGACTCGATATAATATCACAGTCCAAAAAGCTTAAAAGAGCAATTTGATTCACCTAAACCTCAAAGGAACATTTGGATTCCAAGAATGGTGAATCCAAACAAGCTACCATCTTGTTGGATATAGTAAGCGTAAAATCTCACATTGTTAAATATAAAAACAACAATCAACGTATAAGGGCTTAATCTACACTTAACAAGGTTGATTTTTTAAGCGATTATTTATTTTTTTCCACAACATATCTAATAGAATGGTTATGAGGCACTACTACTGAAGCGCCTCTCAATGTGCTATTAAAAGAGTAATTAAACAAGCAGCATCAGGGCATATATATCTAATAGTAACTTATTTTCTAGAACACCTTAACAAAACTCAATAAACAATATGCACACATGAAAATTATGGTGGTTAGACTAATAGTGGCTGTGGTAGAATATAAAATAGAGCTTCTCACTCTCTCATCCAAAAAAGAAGATAAACTTTATCAATTATTAAGAGCAAATTTCAATCAAAATAAGACTCCAGCAATATAATTCTAAACAGAAGAATTAAAACAGTCTGAACAAGACTATCACATAGGACCTCTGAGTACAGTCCATTTCACTTACCAAATACAAGCTCCTATTTTGTCCAGTCAAATGTATGTTTTGCAGTCGCATTATTTTTCAAGATCGCCAAGGTCAATTGAAATAGCACTCTTTTGACAGATCTTGGCTGCAACACAACCCAATTTCTTTCCACCAGAAGGGCGACATATTATTACGTTAACAAGAGATAAATAAAGAAAAGATGCACGTGACTGAGGCTGTATTAATCACACAGGATGTGATGAAGGAAATTCTACTAAGAAAGGAAGCAGAATCAGTTGCATAACGGCTATGGCTATAGGATTGAAACTTGGCTCTCTACGACACAATCCTAGATAAAAATAGAGTCAGATAACTATTAGGAGAAACAAAATCTCAAATTTTATAAGCAGCAACTAC